CGCCCGTGGGGCCTGAAGGAGGCAGAGAGGGGGCAGCAGCTTCTCCCCCAACCAGAACAAGCCATGCGGGGGCCCTGAGCCACGCTGTCAGCTCAGAGGGATCCCAGCTGCCTTGCGTTCCTTACCACGAGGGTGGTGAAACCCTGGAAAAGGCTTCCCAGAGAGATGGTGGAGGCCTCATCCCTGGAAAGGTTCAAGGTCAAGCTGGACAGGGCTCTGAGCAAGCTGATCTAGTTGGGGATGTCCCTGCTTACTGCAGGGGGGTTGGACTAGGTGACCTTTTGAGGTCCCTTCCAACTCAAAGCACTCTGTGCTCAATGGTTGGACTTGATGATCTTAAAGGTCTCTTCCAACCTAAAGGATTCTATGATTCTATGATTCTATGAAATGGGCTTTGTCAGCACCCGGAGGCAGGCTGGGGATGGGGTCCCAGGGGTGGGAGGGTTCTCTGGATCTTTGGCTTTAGTTGCTCTGCATCCCCTCCCTCCTCCCCCACTACTCCCTGGAGCAAGGGAAAGCATCTGCTTACTCAGGCTTGTTGTCCAGCTGGGTCAGCTCCTGCGGGGACAGAGCTGGGGGCTGACCCTGGGGTTCATCCTCCCCTCCTGAGTCCTCAGTGGGTGCTGACGGGGACTTGAGTCCTTCATAGATGACGTTGGACACCATCTCCAACCTGCCCCGTCCCAATCCCAGCTGCACGGCTGCCCTAGGGCGTGGCGAGGGATCTCTCCTGGCTGGGGTGGCTGTGGCGAGCAGCGGGGGTTTGGATGTGGGGTCACCCTCCAGCACACTCTCAGGGCTGGGCTCAGCCACCGGGACCCTGTGGCTGTGCCGTGGTGGGACAGATGGGACGGACAGGGGGGATTTCTCCAATGCCTCTGGGGTATGTCCACGATCCGGAGCTGGAGGAGACCATGTATTCTCCCGAGTCCTCTCTCGCCCTCGAAGCCAGGATGCTCCCATGCCCATAGCTACAGCAGCCCCTGGGCCAGCTGGTGGCACTGGCCTGGGCTCTGGACTCTCCAAATCTGTGGAGCTCTCCCCTGGCACAAACCCTTCGAGTACCACAAAGGCTGCAGGCGCCCCGTCGCTGCCCGGGCTGTGTGCCGGCACTGTGGTGCGTGCCGACGGCGTGGGCGCTGAGCCCTGCTCTGGCTTTGAGCGAGGGAAAACTGTCCTGGGTTTGGGAACCGGCTTCACGAGGGGAGGAGCAGGGTTCTTCTCCACAAGCAGTGCCTGGGTGGGTGCAGTGCTTGCCTGGGTGGGTGCAGTGCCAAGCTGCTGAGTCCCCAGGGTGTCAGTAGCCTCTCCCAGCTCTGCTTTCATGGCATCCTTGCCTACCTGGAGGGCATTCAGGACCTCAGTGGCTTGGAAATGGGTGTCTCCTGCTGCGAGTCCCTCCTGGGCTTGCCTGAGCACCCGCGTCTGCCGCACCAAGTTCAGGATCCTTTTGCGGTGCCCGGTAGCGGTGATGCCAATCTGCTGCAGGTGGTCACCGTCCAGTGAGGCAACATCTCTGGCCACGTGGTACCCATGCTGCTTGAACACATCCTGGTACCTCTCTAAGTGGATGGTGGCCAACCAGTCTGCAATATCTGAGTCAGGACCCCACGGGGAGCTCATGGCCCTGGGGTGCCTCTGAGACAGATGCTCAGCCCATCATCTGTAGAAGAAGGAGAGGAAAGGGGGTGAGGAGGAGGCAGAAGGCAGGTAAGGAGGTTCAGCTGCTGTGAAAGGCACAGATCCCACGGGTGGGAGAGCGGCATGCTCGCAAAGGGCCCCCCCGTCCCGCTGCTCTTCCCGGAGTCGCTCACCTCCCAACTGAAGAAGCCGGAATCCTGTTGTTCCTCAGCCCTGAGCCTCTCCTTTCCCCGTACCTGCGTGATCCGGGCCCCGCTTTGGCGGCGAGGCCGTGACTCGAGCCCAGGCGGGAACCGAGCGGCCAGGGGCTCACGGGGGAGCAGATGCCCGGCTCTGGAGCATCCCGGGCTCCACCACACAGAGGGACGAGGGGATGAAGGGATGTCTCGGTGAAGGGGCTGCCCAAGGCAGATAATGGGGGGGAGCAGCTGGGCCCCTCCCAGGGGATGAACTCCTGTGCTGGGCAGCTCGGGGAGGGCTTTGCAGCCGGAAGGGCCAGACCACAATCTCTCTCTCTCACTGCTGGCGAGGGCATGGGAGAGGTCAGCGTGACTCACAGGCAGAGAGAGGGGGGACAGCCTCCCACCCACCCCAAGGGTCGGGCTTCTGCACCACTCCACCAGCACCCACAGCTTGAGACAGGGACAGGCTCCTGCTCGGCACGGCATCTACCCACTGGGTCTGGGGATCCCCCATCCCCAAATTATTTGCTGGTGCAGCCCCGGGACAGAGTCGTGGGCTGTCAGCAGAGCACTGAGGGCCTTTTTCCCATGAATCACGCTGCTTCTCACTGCACCATCTGTGCTGACTGTGTTTGCCACTGGGTCTTTTTCCAGTTCCTCCATTTCCTTCTATTGTTCAGCGCAGGCTTCCTTCCTGCTGCCTGCACACTCCCACGCATCCCCTGCCCCCCTTCCCACAGGACCCACAGGCAGGGGCCAACCAGGCCGGGCTCCCTTCTGCCAGATTCCCCCCCCACACACACCTAGTTCTTACGCAGGCAGATGCCCTCTCCCCTCCTCTGCCTCACTGCAGGGGAGGGTTGCATGGGTGGTATGGGGAAGTTTGGGCAGGCTGGGGTGCTGGCAGAGGAGGTGGTGGCCCTGGGAGCACGTGAGGGGGATGCTGGTGGAGAGCAAGAGATCTCTGCTCACATGGATGTGTGTGGGAGGTGTGTCCAACCCCATATAATTGGGGGGGGGTGTCTCCATGGGGCGAGGGCTGCCCATCGCAGTTGAGGAGGGGTGGTCATGGCGGGAGCTGGCTGAGAAGCTGGTGGGGCAGGGCATGGGGAGCAGGGCACGGGGATGTTGCTGCCTGGCCAGGTAGGACCTACACAAAGGGAGGGGCAGGGGGGTGTGGATGGGGTGTGGATGTTCTGTCCTGGGTGTCTCAGCCACAGGGTTAAAGGGCTGAACCCACTTCTGGTGCTAGAATGGGGCAATTTCCCCCTTTCTCGTGCCTGTATCACCCGAGGGATCTGTGGCCAGCTTTGCCCACTGCCTGTGATGCTTGGGGCCTCAGCAGGCAGCCTCCTGTGGGGGCCTGGCTCCTGAGACCTCCCTGTGCCCAGGCAGTGGCCACCAGGGCCGTGCCAGGCACTGGACTCTGCTGAGGGACTTCGGAGCAGCCCAGCTGTGCCCGTGGGCAGTGGCACTTGGCAGGGAGATTGCGACGTTCCTGTCACCACAATCCCATGTGGACCAGCTGGTGCAGCAGGTGGGAAGCAGGCATGGCCCTTCCCCTCCATCCCCAAGCCTACCCCATCCATGCCCTGGCATCCCCAGGGATTGTGCCTCACCTCTGGCCCCGCGGTGCGGTCTGCAGCCCCCCGGGGCTGGCTCCGGTGGAGCAGGACCGTGGCAGAGTCGCTGCAGGCTCCACGGTTGCCCTGCTCTGGGCTCCAGGGTGATGCCGAGGTGTCCTCACCAGGCATGGGGCTCAGCCCGTGGGGCATGGGCCGGCAGCCCTGCAGGAACTGCTCCAGGCTTTGCAGCACCCAGCCCGCGCCTCCCACTGCCGGTCCCTCCTCCTGGCCAACCCTCCGGTCCCCATCCCTGTCCCACCCTCCCATCCTGCCCCTTCCTAGGGAGGACCAAGCCCTGTGCTTGGTCCCCTGTGCTGCCCCTCGGCCAGGCTCTGCTTTCCTTCAGGGGCTGCCCTCCACTCTCCCTGCTCACCCCTCACGATCTTTCTCTTGCCTTCCCAGTGAGAGTCCTGCTCCCCACATTGCCATGGGGCACCAGGCTGGCCTGAGACCCACACCTGGAGGCTGCGCTGCTGAGTGAGAGCCCCGAGGTTCTCAGGTACATTTGGCTCCGGGTAGGAGGAGGTACTCACTGTACCCACCACAGCCCAGAGGCAGGTGCTGGGAAGGTGTTGCCACACTGGAGGAAAGAGGCTAAAATGTCCCTGCTGATGAGGGGACTTGGCTGGGCTGGCACCAGGGCTGGGCTGGGTGAGGTGCTGGGAACACAACCCCCTCCCCTGCACTGTGGGATGCTGGGGATGCAGGATCCCATCCCACCGCCCCATCATGAGGGACATGTGGAACCAGCTGTGGGGCAGACGGCAATGGGCTCTGGGGTGGCAGGGGGACACAGGGAGTGTTTCTGTCCCACAAGGAGCCCTTGCTTTCACCACCAGCCCGCCTGGCTGCCTTTATCACAGCACTTTTCGCAAGACCTGCTGCTGGCCTGGAAGTTAGTGCAGCTCTGCTCTTACCCAACCTTTCATGCAGAGGATGTCCAAGGCTGATGTCTTACAACACCCTTCAGCTCTTCTCTGCTCTTGATGGTGAGGCTGGGAACTAGTCTCTGCCCAGTAGAGCATCCAGCTCCCTGGGGACTCCCTGGGGACTCCCTGGGGACTTGCTTATCTTAGGCTGGTGCTTCCTTGCCCCAACAATGCCCCCAAAAGCCATTGGGGGTTGTTGGAAGCAGTGGTAGCTCTTGGTGTGGGAGCACCACCCTCTACAAGCTTCTGTGTGTGGAAAGGCAGCTTCTCCTTAGCACGGGCTTGCTCCTGCAAAGCAGAAGTAGAACTTGGTGTGAGTCTGGCATGGTTTTTGTCTTCCTCCCCCTTCCCCACCAACTCCTCCAGTGCGGGATGATTCATCCCTGGGGCTGGGGATGACAGGAGTGGCCCCATGGACTGTTCTGTGGATGGGATACAGTGACAGGGTGCCCAGGGACCTTCAGGGTGTGCAGGGACCCTCTGGCTCTGTGCTGTGGAGCGTGCCTTCCCACCTCTGCCTCTTAGAGAAAGATGTTGGCTAAATATAGGCACTGCTGATCATGGGAAGGTGGCTGAGATCTGCAGTGGGAGTGGCTGGATGGACAGAGCAAAGGGTGCTGGCGGTGCCACTGTCTCCATCCTGCCATGCTGGAGGCATTGGCAGCAGTGAGGAGCACTCCTATGTGGGGCCAGATTCTGGCTCATAACTGTCTGGCATCCTGCAGCATCTCAATAGACCCCTTGTAACCTGCTGATGGGAGCTGAGCTCCCCCCTGCATGCTGGGAGGGCAGAGGTGGGCTGCTGGGGAGGGAAACATCTGAAGGTGGAAGTGACACACTGGGATGTCCTCAGAGTGGCAAGTTGAAGTCCCATCTGGTGGCCTGGGGTGACCAAGAGTAGGGCCCTGCCCCCACAGCCCACATCCTGATGGCTGCTGACGGGCCAGTTTGGTGCAGAAAACCTTCTCCCCTGCTCTATTCTTCCTCCACAGTCACCCAAGTGCCAAGACTTGGGCTCAGTTCCCCTGGCAGGGGGGAAACCTCTGCTGAAGCACCTCTGCTGAGCCCCATCTCCTGATTCCCAGCAAGGATTGTCCCCTTTTTAGAGGGACATCTGGGGCACCCCTCAGCCATGGGACCACCCTGGAGCTGGGCAGCTGGGATGAGGCCGTGCTGGAGCAGAGCAGGGCACAGCAGGGTGCTGGGTACTGGCAGGGTATAGGCAGCTGTGACGTGTGTGCTGCAGCTGGATCGTTTCCTGAGGTCTTCTTATTTGCCCACTTTCTATAGCACAGGTTTCAAAAGCCACCACTTGATCTTTCTGGTGGCTGCCAACTGCCTGATGCAATCTATATTTAGCTGCTAACCTCTTTGGTCTAAGACAGAGAGCCCTGTCATGTCTACAGGCTCTCACAGCAGGAGGGCCTTGTCTGCTCTCTGGAGAAGGCAGATGGGCAAGACTGGAGAACACCCCCTGGGCTGGGGGATTGGGCTTTGTGAAGATCCTGCCAAGGGCTGGAGAAAGAAGAGATCAAAGTGAAGGTTGGACTCTTCCAGCACGTTGGTCTGTGTGGTCCTTCCCTTTTCCAGACAGCACCCAGGATGACACTGTCCCTTAAGGTCCATGTGTCCAGCTGCCTGTCTGTCCATCCATCCATCCATCCATCCATCCATCCATCCATCCATCCATTCATCCATCCTTCCATTTATTTTCCCCCCTGTCTCTCTCTTCCTCCCTCCCCGTCAGCCTTTGCTGCAACCTAGGGCAGCTTTGCTCTCCCTTCAACCCGACCCATATGGAGTCGTGCTGGGTGGTGGTGGTGATGGGAGCATCTCCTGGGAGGAGGACAGGGTAAAGGACACTCAGGGCTTGTATCTAGAGGGCAATGATGTATTGGAAAGCTAGAAATGTGAGGTTCAGACTAAGCCCAGAGGGTTTGCTGGGGTACAGCAGAGATCTGAGCCCCTAGGAGGGCTTGGTGGAGGAGTGAGGAGGGGGAAGCTGGAGTCTATTTGGCTTGGAAACCTGCTGGACCTCTCCAGCCAAAGAACACTGCTGAAGGCCTGTCCATGAGATAAGACAGGCTGCTGAGGGGGTCCCTGCTGGGGTCAGGGTCCCAGTGAGGGTGATGTGAGTGAGAGCTGCCCAAGACCAATCCATGGTCTCTCTCCTGTGCTTGGGGGACACCCCCCTGCAGTGCAGGGGCAGCTCTGGAATACTCAACAAAGCAGAGACAGGGACCTGCTGGAGTGGGGCCAGAGGACCCCCAGCAATGACCTGAGGGGGGAACCCCTCTGCTGGCAGCCCAGCAGGAGAGAGCTGGGCTTGGCCAAACTGCAGAGGAGAAGGCTTCAGCTGGGGAGACCTTCTAGGGGCCTGCTAGGGCTTCCAGGGGCCAAGAGGAAAGCTGGGGATGGATCTTTTATGAGAGCCTGTTGCAACAGGACAAGGGGTGATGGGTTTAAACTCAAAGAGGGAGATTTAGACTGGAGAGAAGGGAGAAAATTTTGATGCTGAGGGTGGTGAGCCCCTGTCCCAGATTGCCCAGAGAGGTGGTTGCTCCCCCATCCCTGGAATCATTTCAGGTGAGGTTGGCCGGGGCTCTGAGCAACCTGCTCTAGTTGCAGATGTCCCTGTTCCCTGCAGGGGGTTTGGACTAGATGATCTTGGAAGGTCCTTTCCCACTCAAACCATCCTGTGATTCTGAGCTCAGGAGATACGAAGCATGAGATCCTGGGGATGGAGTCACATCCTCCCCTGGCCAGGGCATGTTTGACGCTGGGGACACTGGAGTGGGCTGTGGATTTGTATGTGGGGAGGACGGGGGAGGGGGTGGAACATGCCCCCCCCCATCTGCAGCAGCTTCCTGTTTCCTTTCCAATCCGTGTGCTGTGGGGCGGCTCCTCTCTCTCGGGGCCAGGCAGGAAAAGTGACTGCGCCCAACACGTGCCTGCCCCTCGCCCCCCTGGGCTGTGGGCCACCCCCACACCCCAGCTCTTGGGGGACTCAGGTGCTGGGGGATGCCTGCCCACCTCCCTATCTTCCTGCTTGTGCTGTAGGAACCCCAGCAGTGGCACATGACTCCCTACAAAATTGCCACCCTGGAGTTCCCAGCACCCCATGGGGTCTTTGGCACCCCGCTCCCCAACCCCACAGATTTCACCCACATCCCTGGTCAGGGTGATGCTGGGGAGCAGGAGCTCTGCTCCAGCCCTGTGCTGGATGTGGACCAATGGCCCTGCCACCCCAGCAGCCTTTGTCCTCCTCATGCTCTTGGTAGCACCGGCATCCTGGCCATTTTGTGCAGCATCCTGGGCTGAGATGTCACCCACCATGGCACAGCCTGGCCAGGGCTGGCCAGGCAGCGGGCACTCCTCAGCTCAGCCATCAGCTCCTCACACACCTATTCAGGGCTGGCTAGAAATAGCCCCACGGCAGAGCCATGGCAAGGAGAAGAGATGAGGCCATTGCCCGCAGCACCGAGGCTGTGCGGGGTGCTCCTCAACCCAGCACCCTGAGGGCTCGGGGTGCTAGAGTTTCTCCCCCTCGCTCTGGCCACGTTTCCCTGCCCAGCTCTGCCATGGTTGTTGCCAAGTGTTACAGCAGTGGTTTAGGGTTTGGATGTGTCTTCTCACAGGTAAAATCCTCCCTGATGTGGGTGACCACCATCTGCTGACGTGGTGGGAGCATCCCAGGGTGAGGAGGGGCCCTTGCTTCGCTGTGAGCCCCAAACACTGCAAGGGGAGGGCGTCCCCCACATCTCCTGCCCTTGGGTTTTCCACATTTTCCTTGCAGAAGGTGACTTGTTGCCCCTGCTCTGCTTCTGTGGCCAGCCCAGCTGCAAACCATGGGAGCCAAGTGTCCCCACAGCCAGGACCTTCTGTCCCCTCTTCAGGGTTCTCTTCAGTGGGACACATGTGTGTGATGCCCCCCAGGAGCAGCACAGGGGACAGACGTGACCTAGTGGGCTGGCTAAATGGGGACACTGAGCATCCATGCCCAGGATGCTGGGGTGGGCATCTGGATGAACTGGGGAGGAGAAGCGCAAGGTGTGGGGAAGCAAGCACACGGCAGCAGCTCAGGGTGGGACCACAGGACGTCAGGGTGACCAGGGACTGTGAGACTGGGTGGGTCAGAGGGGTCCCCAAGGCCACTGTGGCAGGTGGGTGTGGGCAGACTGCAAGCCCCAGGTGCTGCCAGGGGGATTGTACCCCCATCACCACCCAGGCAGAGCTCTGGCTGTGAGAGTGGCTGCCATGTCCTGTCTATGTTTCTAAGACTACCTTGCTGGGACAGGTCTGGAGCTGAGCACCCCAGCACCATCAGCAGTGATGGCCCTGTTCACGCAGCCTGGAGAAGAGAAGAGTCCAAGGAGACCTTCTGGTGGCCCTTCAGTTCTTAAAGGGGCCAGTCAGAAAGCTGAGGACAGACTTTTTAGCAGGGCCTGTTGGGACAGAACAAGGAGTGGTGGTTTTAAACTGAAAGAAGGAGATTTAGACTAGAAAGAAGGAAGAGATTTTTGACGCTGAGGGTGGTGAGCCCTTGGCCCAGGTTGACCAGAGAGGTGGTCAGTGCCCCATCCCTGGAACCATTCCAGGTGAGGTTGACCGGGGCTCTGAGCAACCTGCTCTAGTTGCAGATGTTCCTGCTCCCTGCAGGGGGTTGGACCAGATGACCTTGAAAGGTCCTTTCCCACTCAAACCATTCCATGATTGTATAACTGTGATCAGGTTTAAACCCACCTGGGGCAGGAGCTGAGCAGTCACAGGCAGCCTTAGAGCCTGGGGGGGAATGTGGGGCTGAAAAATCCAACATTTGTCAGTGTATTCCCCAGAGACATCTGTCTAGACTAACTTCCCATTGGCTGGTGGAAGCTGTCCCGTGCACACGCATGCTCAGAGCCCAGCATGGGCTTCTCCTGCCCCACCACTGGCAACTTCACTCCCTGCTGAGGGTCATCAAAGGGTGCTGGGACTGCACGGCTGGACTCACCCTCCTATGTAGCCCAGGACCTAGTGCCTGGACAGCCTCAGTGTGGGCTTTGTGCCAGCTTCTTTGCCATCCTATGCCAGCCTGACACCCTATCATGCACACACCAACCCCTTTATTGTTGTGCCAGAAACCACAGCAGCGGCAAACACCAAGAGAGTGGGGACAGAGGTTGCCCAAGACTGCCAGGACAAGCCCCCCCCTCAATATCACCTGGGGAAGGCGTCCCCAGGGCCAGCTGGACTAGACCCAGACTATAAGAGGTAAGCCTGGTGCCCAGGAGAGGACCTGAGAGGGCTCCCCAAGATGAGGCTGTCACACAAAGCCTGGGAGGACTTGGTGGGCTGCAGTGGGTCCAGCCTGATTGTGGGCTTGGACCCTGGGTCAGAGAGGGTCAGTCCAAGCCCTGTGCTGCTGCAAAGCCTGAGCAGGACCTCTGCAGATTTCTCCACTTCTGGACCTTTCAGGGACATCCCTAGAAGGTCTTATAGTGGTAGAGGGATATCCTGGTGCCAGGAAAGCTCCTACCCACCCTGGGAAGTGTCCCACCTCTCTTGTCCTGCCCAGCCTCTCCTCAGGGCACCTGCTCCAACTACCAGCTCTCCCACCTGCGTGGGGACATCTCCGTGCGCTGGGGACATCTCCATGAGCCACCATAGGCTCAGGAAGGACCAGGGTGCCCATCCTCCCTCTTTCCAGCAACCATGCTGCAAGTGCCCATGGGACAGTACCCTACACCCGAGTAGGGGGGTCTGTGAGGAAGGTATTTGAGATCAGACGTGACTAGTGGTGTGGAGGGGGCCAAATTCCCACCCATACCCCCAAGCTGCCAAGCCCTGATCACGAGGGGTTCCCCCCACGAGAGGGCTGTGGAGAGGGCTCAGGCCTCGTGGTCGCTGGTGCTCAGGTGGTCCTCGGCCAGCCCCGTCTCGTCGATGTTCTCCAGTGAGTCGGCATGTTGCACCGAGAGCTCGGCCAGGCTGACGCTGGGCAGCGTGTTCTGCTCCGGGTACACCCAGGGCTTGTACCCGGGGTCGTGTTTGCGCTTCCACTCCGGGTACTTCAGCCCAGCCTTGTAGATCTTCTTCATGGCCTGTGGGCAGAGTGGGTCCAGCCTGTTACAGTGCCAACATCCCCAGTGGGGATGGAGCCACCTCAATCTGTGAGCGCAGCTCCCAAGTCCCCTGTTACTTGGGTTTTGGAGGAGGTGGGAAGGGATGGAGGCCTGGATTAGACCAAAAATGAATGCTCTGGGAGCTCTGCGTCATCCAGCACCCATGCTGTGAGCCCTGGGCCACCCAGCACCCTCCCTAGGAGTTTGCTTTGGGGCAGCTCCTCCCTGGTGCCTGTGCATCCCACCACCAGCCACTCTCCCTGCTTACCTTCGGTGCCACGAACTGGGAGACGCGGTTCACCACCCACTTCGGCAGCGACCCTGCAAGAGCCCAAAACTCATTACTCAGCCAATCTGGGCCAGCCTCAAAGGAGGCACCACAACCTGCAGCACCTCATGTCAGACTGAGCTCTCCCGGAGCTGATAGCACCTGTCCAGGGAGGGGATCCCTTTCTTCCCTGGATTGTCCCCACTTCCCATGCCCTTTGGACATCCAGGTGATGGAGAACCTTGGTAGGTGAGCTCTGGGGGTACAGTGGGTCCCACCCCAGAGTTGACACGGTGCACCATCCCCTCCCACTGGCACTCACCACGAGGGTCCACCTGGGTGAGATAATAGAGGATGCAGGCACCGGCACCGTTTGCCTTGATCAGATAACCAGTCTGCAGGGACACGGCCCTCACAAAATCCTTCCGAGGTGGGTATTTCTGCAGAGAGAGGTCGTGAAGCTCAGAGCCTGCCCGAGTCGCTGCCCAGCTCGGCCTGTGCATGGGGCCAGCACCCCTGCCAGGGCTGGGGCCGGCCGGGGGGCTCACCGGGTGCTTGACACTGTAGTTGATGATCATGTAGTCATTGCCCAGAGGCAGCCAGGAGCGTAGGGTGACGAAATCCCGGTTCTTCAGGGGGCTCGGGCATTTCCCTGCAGATAAGATCCCGTTACACCCCAACCTCCTGTCCCCATGGCCCTACAGCCATGCCTGAGGCTGCAGGGCTGAGAAAGGGGGGGCCTGGGGTTCGCCAGGGGCTGGAGGCTGCTCACAGGAGTAGTATCCAACGTCGGCGTTGACGGTCAGGCGCCCGATGTCATAGGTCTCGATCATGTTCGAGTCCCATTTCTTGCGGTAGTGGGTGTCGTGCAGCACGTCATAGAGCGTCTCAGCAGGGACGTCCTTGCAGGAGATGCGAGTCTGTGGGGACACGGTTAGCCGGGCAGAGGGCAGGACCCACCCACAGGAGCATGGAGCTGTGTCCATCAGCAGATGAGGAATTTAGGCTGTTCTTGGGTGCTGGCTACAAATCCGCGTGCACATGTGCCACAGAGGATACTCTGCACGCATGGCGAAGAGCATGACCCTGCTTCAGGAAGTGCAAGGGGAGGAGGGCAGAGACATCAAAGGACCATCTGCCCTCAAATGGAGCTGCTTGGAGATCCAGGCTCTGGTGCCTGGGAGTACAGAATCCCAGTGTGGTGAGGTTGGAAGGGACCTCTGGAGATCTTCTCATTCAGCCCCTCTGCTCCAGCAGGTCACCCACAGCAGGGTGCCCACAATGTCATCCAGATGGGTTTGGAATCTCTCCAGAGAAGGAGACTCCACAATCTCTCTGGGCAGCCTGCTGCAGGCTCTGCCACCCTCACACCAAAGAAGTTTTTCCTCCTGTTCAGATGGAACCTCCTATGTTCCAGTTTTTGCCCGTTGCCCCTTGTCCTGTTGCTGGGCATCACTGAAGAGTCAGGCCCACCCTTTGGACTCCAAACTCAGCCCTGTCCCCTCATCCCATCCTCCTGCAGAGGAACCAAAGGGACGCTCCTGCCCTGGCACAATGCTCTCAGGCCCAGGGTCTCATCTGGGGATGTTGGTGGGGCCCCGGCTGTAACTGGAGCTGTGGAGCTGCCCGACTGCTCTGGCAAGTGCATTATTGATGAAGGCGGCCACCCCGCTCCCCTCAATACTGGGAGGAAGGAGATGTCATCTGCTCCTCGTTAGAGGACTTGCATCTTTGATGAGTCGTTTGGCAGTGCTGTGTAATCGGAGCTGGCCTTCTGAATGTGGCAGGTCCCATCAATCTCAGGCAAGCTTTCCCCGGTGGCCTGGGTGATGGTTTCTGCCTGGCGTGCTGGACTCGTGCCCAGGATGGGCTTGTAAGTGTGCTGCACTCCCCAGGGCACCGTGAAGGAGAGTGTGGGGGCACCCAACCCCTACCTCCTGCTCCCCTTCCTCAGCCACCCCACCCAGCTGAGTCTAGAGGTGCTGCTGCTGCAGGGTGAAGGATGGCTCCAGAGAGAGGAGGGCCTTATGGTCCTCCTGGGCTCCTGGAAGCTTTGGCTATTACAGCAGGACCATCGCAGCCTTGCATCCCCAAAGTCCCCACTAAAGCCTGTCTACCTCTCCTCTCCAGCCATGGATGAACAGAGGCTGTGCAAGAGTCACACCAGGTGGTCAGCTGGGATGCGGGAGGCACAGGATCCAAAACCAGACCATCCAGAGGGAATTCTGCTGGAAAAAAAATCCTGGCTTCAACTGCCCGGGGACTCTGGAGGTTACATCTGCATTAATGGAATGACTAGTGTTTTGCTGACCTTCAGCCCCAGCCTGTGTAGCTCAGCTCTCCTGGACAGACTGGATGTTATTCTCCATACCACCTCTCAGGAGGGGTCCCTGGGCAGTGCTAACCCCTGCATCATACTCAGGCCCTTTCCAGATTGTGCTCAGCCCCACCCTTGAACCTGCCTGAGGTCTCCTCTCTATGGGGCTTGGTGGTGGCTAAAAGGATATAACTGCTGTGCTTTTTTGAACTTGGGTGGGCTTCACGAGGTTCCTGCCAGCTGTCCCTCTAGCCTGTCCAGGTCCTGCTGAGCAGCAGCCTTGTCTCCAGCACTTCCAAAGCTCTCCACACTTCAGTGCTTGCCCTGCAGACTTGTGGAGAGGGCACTTGACCCCCTCATCCCAGTAACAGGGTAGGAGCCAGCAACTGGCCACCATTTGGACTCTGCACTGCTGATCACCATGCTGTGAGTTGCTGGATCCAGAGGTCACTTTCAATCCCACCATGCTGGGATTCTGTGATCCACTGACCAGTCCAGTGCTCCAGTCCAGGTCTCATCATTGTGGCAATGAGGACACTACAGAAAACTCTATCAAAGGCTTTGCTAAAGCCAAGGCAGAGGGTTTCCCCTGTTCTCCCCATGCCCATGCATCCGGTCCTCTCACTGTGGGAGGAAATCCAGATGGTCAAGCATGGTTTGCCCTTGGTAGGTCCCTGCTGCTGCTACCACTGCCCTTGTCCTTCAGGACATGGCTTCCAGGAGGACGTTGTCCATCACCTTCCCAGAGATGGAAGTGACAGAGAAGCCCGTAGTGCCCTGGAGCATCCTTCTTGTCCTCCTGGAAGATGGATGTGACATTTGCCTCTTCCCAGTTATGAGGGACCTCCTGCAGTCAGCAGGGCTTTCCAGAGAGATGTCAACCAGTACCCTCAGCACCCCTGGGTGCATCCTGCCTGGTTCTATGGACTCGTGCATGCCCAAATGGCTTAAGTGCTCCCTGATCCTAGCCCAGAAGCTCTTCCCTGGCTCATGGTCACAAGGCCATGGTGTACTGTGGCTGCACCTCTGCAGAGAGTGCTCTTCCTCCTCCTCACCTTGACCCTGAAGGGCCTCCATCCATGACAGCAGTGCAGTCATTGCGTGTCCAGCTCCTCCTCGTGTCTCTCCAGCTGCATGGGCTGGTGAGCAGGCACCCAAGACAGGCAGCCAGTTACTCTGTGTTCAGGAGAATGATGCAAGAGCCTTCTCCCAGCGTAGTGCACCCCAGGCATCTCCTCACCACCCCCTCGTGCCTTCTCTGCTCTCCAGGTTGTGGTAACCCTTCCCTGACACTCCTAGTTGAGAGCTCTCTTTATGGGGTTGTCTATCATGGGGGTAAGAAGCTTTGGCCATACTTGCTTAGGTGGACCCCATCCCTGCCCACCAGTGCTGATCCTCAGTGGCCAGAAAAACCACAGCCCTGCCTGTGACACCAGCCATGGAGCTGAGCACTGACCTGCAGCATGCTCCCATAGAGAGTTTACCCCATGATGGGGTTTCCATGCCCCTTGCCCCCAGTACCCTGTAGCTGCTCTTGATGTACTCAGGATCACCTGGCAATGCCACTGGTGACATGTGGATGAGTGACGAGGTGTAACCACCTCAGCGAAGGCTGAACCTCACTAAGTCCCTCTGCAGCATCCCAGATCTGGCCCCCGGCAAGCAAGAAACTTCCTGAGATAGCACATGGGAGCTCTTAAACTCTCCGGGATGTCCATCCAGTGCAGGACAAGAAGTGATGTGCCCCAGGATGGTGTGGCCAGGGGAGAGGCACCAGGGAGGCATCCCACCAGCCTATCTCCTGCCCCGGAGGCTCCCAGCAAGGTCATCTCCACAATGTAATTGATCCCAGGGCCTTCCTGCCCGTGTCTGGGTCACAGGCAGCCGCAACGTGAGCCCCCACACACGCACCCTGGCAGGTCGGGAGGCTAAAGCCACGGGGCAAGCAGCGAGAGCCTATGGAGCAGCTTGCCAGCTGGGGAACACCTCTGGGGGGGCTAACCCCACCAGCCCCAGAAGTCAAGGCAGAAACACCCCCAGGCAGGCTGGATCAAGGTGCTGGGCATCCCCAAGGTGGGCCAGCACACTAGGGACCCTGGCGAGTAGCTGGGTACAGAGCTGGGGCAGGGAAGGCTGGTGGTCCTGCAGCTGCAGGCATCTGCTTACCTTGATTTTCTGCACGGTGCAGCTTTCCTCCTGGCCCTGACTCCACACAGTGATGCCAGCCTTGTTGTACCGGCAGTGCCAGCCCTCCAGGCTCTCACACTGATCCCGGAAGGAGCTGAAGTCGGAGTCATCAGGGATATAGACCATTTCTCCTCCTCTGGACATGGGGCTGAGCTGCCAGAGCCAGGGTGTGGGCACCGGCTCCTTCTGCCTCAGCTCCTGGTAAACCCGGCTCTGCCCTTGAGCTCTGCCTCGCTGAGCACCTCTGCAGCTCACATCATTCTCCCAGCCCCGAGCCCGTGCCCCTGGAGTGGACACCGGCCAACCGGGCACGGCAGGCGGCGGGGGTGGGCAGAGAGCTCCGGCCACCCCTGCCACGCCGTGTGGCGCAGAGCAGCGGAGAGGAAGGCTCCTTCCCTGCGGTTGCTATCGTGGCTGCTGGGAGCTCAGATGTCTTCTTGGGCTGGCTCACCAGCATCACATTTCTCTCCGGCTGGCTGTCAGCTCCTCTATTATTCAGCAGGTAGCAGTGTGCAGGTGGCTCGGTTTTCAGGGCCGAGCTGCCCCCATCTCCCCAAGCCCCCCAGCCTCTCCGTCCCTGGTCTTCCCTTGCTGACAACACGCTGCCAATCTCTGTGCCTGACTTTGCGGCACCAGCTCGCCGGCGGGATCAGCAGATCTCCTGCCAGGAGCAGCAGCCAAGCCTCCCAGCAGCGTGGAGGGAAAGCCACGGGCCTCGGCACCCATGGGATGCTGGTCAGAGCAGATCCCGGCGTGCCCGGAATGGGGCTATGGTCCAGCGCACGAGACCTTGGCTCTCAAGATATCCTGGGTCTGTGGCATGGAGAAGGGAAAGAATTTGCAGGTGAGGAGGTTGCTCCTCCCTGGGCTCACAGGATCCTGGGAATACTGGTGGGAAGAGGCTCCTGGGGGGTCTCCGTCAAGGTCACCAATGGCATTACACAGCTGGGTCTTGAAGGACGGACTTGCCCCACCCTCTGGTGGCATGTCCCATACCTGTAACACCTCCCCGGGAAAAAAAATAGTAATTTCTACTGTCCAACCTGAAGCAGCAATAAATGTCCATTGTCCTTTGTTACATCTCATGCCCTACCAAGAGAGATTGGCTCCGTCACCTTCCATCTGCCCTCCAGGCAACTGTGTGATGCTGGTAGATCCCAACACACCCCCTTGTAGCCCCAGGTCCCAGTCCTACCAGCAGCATCTGCCGGACCCTCTCCAGCTCCTTCACCTCTCCCTGAACTGGTGGAGCCAGTCTGGGCACAGCACCTAGCTGGAGGTGTGTAGAAGGGACCCTGGTGTTGTGCAGAAGGGACAACCCCTTCTCTCAGGCTATTGATCACACGCCTTCTCGTGTTGCCCAGGAAGCAGCTTGCCCCATTTGTTCAGTCTTGTCCAGGACCTGTCCCAGGTCCTTTCCACTGGGGCCCTGTTTAGCCCCTCAGTCCCCAGCCTGGGAGAAACCCCTGGGAGAAAACTGAAGTTATCTTGCCTGTCTTGGTGATATCCAAAAGGTTTCTGTTGATCCAAATTTTGAGTTTCTTGGGGTCCACCTGGAATGAAGTTCTGCCATTTGCTGAAGACCTGTTCCCCCTGGCTTAGCCTCACCTGTAAGGCAAGGGTGCCCTTGCTTCCTCATCTGACCCTCTGATGAGGACAGGGAACATGTCATAGAATCATAGAATCCCTTAGG